TTCACTGCTGTCCATTCCACCGCTGGCCTCTGCTGACCGCAGGATCCTCTAGATGAGCACCACCTCAGACTCCTTCTTGCCTTCTTTCTGGCATCCCGAGCCTTCATTTCCCCTGTCATGTCTGGCCGGTTTCTCTCCATGTTTACTACCCAGATGTCCAGTTCCTCCTTCTATCCCCAGCTCAGCCCGAGACACTCCAGTTGTCCCTTCCTGTTCATGGCTCTGTTTAATGTCTCCTGGGGCTCCAGGAAGAATTTGGGGTATATGTTCTCCTTTTTCTCAATGAAAACTTTAACGTCCTGACTGCAGTTTCCATCCCTTCTCCCTATCCTTATCCAGCATTGTGGTACTCAGTGTAGGAATCAGGTAGGGCCCAGTGATAACCCTTGCTCCCACCTGTTAAGATAGTTGATATTCTGGACAGTTCAGCTGCAAAGATTTCAGGTTTTGTTGTGTAAAATCAAAATCAATAACTGACATAGAACCTATATAGTATTCTTGCGTAGGCAGTTTTCAGTTACCTGAATAGAAGCTGTTTACTCCTTCCAACTGTAATTTGAACACAGAAGGAAATTGTGGGAGAGGGAACTCAAAATTTCTCAAATGACATGAATAGTTATTTGTTTGGTTTTTACATTTAGGAGGGTCCAGAGAGTTCTGATTACTTTAACATGTCCACATTAACACATTTCCCTCAATCTTACTTCAGGGACCTAACAGACTTCCTTGCCATATTGCTTGTTCTAAAGGAGGGGTAGGTTGTTCACAAGAGTGTTGGTCAAAAGTCTCCAGAGAGAACACATACATGTAGACTTTAATTTGTAACATTAAGTCTTGGCAGTTAAGAAGCAAAATTGTGCACAAGAATGTTTATCTTCATCGTCTCCCCTACTGCCTGTAGATTCCTATTTAACTGTAAAAATGTTGAGGTAAAAGTGCTAAAGATCAGATGCCTGAGAGGAGCTTGATGAGTGGAGAAGTGGGAGGAGAGAGGGAGAAGAGAGGAGATATGCTACCTAATTCAAAATAATTCTGGGTAACAATGTAGCTAATGAAGAGTGATTTGTGAAGTAGAAAACATACATTTACAAAGATGGTAAAGCCTCTTTGGCCCTTTTTTTCATTTAAATGTCAGAGATTATTTCATTATTTTATAGAGAAAACACATCATAGCTCTTATTCTATTTAAACTCTAGTTGAGTTTTTAATTTAAAAAAAATAGAACAATTAAGCCTAGAGATTCATCTGAATGGTGGATATGTCTTTATAACTGAAAACTTCTCTCTGTTCAGAATATTAAAACGGTGTGAAAAAAGTGAATAAATTATGTGAATTAATGAATTGTACCTTTAGACACAAAATAAGTGAGAACCTGTGGAAATTTTTGTTCATTCTGTTTGGTGCTGGAAGTTGTGCTTCTATCTGAGTGATTTTATAAACCAGTTAGTAGATGAGTAGTGTTGGATGAGAGACCAAAAAGGACCTTTATATAGTTCTTTTTAGATTTACAACTCACTCCCATGTATAGCCCATTTGATCCTTCTAACTTCAAACAAGTCCTGTGTATATTCTCCTTGTATTGCTAATAAAAAAACAGAGACTTATCGATATGAACCAACTGTGTAACCAGCTGCTAACCAGAATAGGCTGACATGCAGATGATAGATGTGCCAGATTCAATTTGGTGATGCATACAAAGTTCTTTAGAATGCAGCCTATATATTATAAACTCTCCACAAAGTGAGTCTATATAACTTGCTCTAGTCTTGATTATTTCCATTTGAAATTATTGTATACAACTCAGAAGCAACAATTACCACTCCATCCATGTCTAAAACAACAACAAACTGATGAACAGAATTGATCCAGAGACATAGAAATATGAAACAGCTGATGAACCTCAGAGGGAAGGCTGGAGTGGGTGGATGGGTTGATGGGTGGGAATAGATCAAGCAAAGAACTTGTGTGCATATATATATATATATATATATATATATGCATATATATATGCATATATATATATATATATTCATAACCCATGGACACAGACAGTAGGGTGGTGAAGACCTAGAAGGTGACAATTGTGGAAAATAGGGGACATCTGTAATACTTTGAACAATAAAGATTGAAAAAAATCACTTTGTTGAAAGAATAAAAAGTCACTGTCATGAAAGGTTCCCTGTAGATTAAAACATTGATACTATTCTTTTAAATGTGCCACGATGAATGGCCCCAAGTAAGCCAGAGCTAACTAATTAAGTTCATTTTGTGAATGGGGTTAGAATTAGACTTACGGTAAAGAACATTTGCTAAATACAGCTCATGTGATTTGGGCATATTTGATAGATTAGCAGGTATTTGACAATAATTGGCCACAGTTTAACTTGTTTCTTCACACTGTTTCTGAAATGTGCTAATATTAGCATGAAAGAGAGTGACTGTTTTTAATTGATAAGTACATAATTCATAGATTATTTAGATCCAAGTTAAAAAAAAAGGCTAAGACATAGCCTTGTTTTACTGCACATGTATATCAAAATTCTCCAATTTTGAATTTTCCCAGTAGAGTTTTTATATTGTTACCTTTACTAAAATTAAAATTGGCTTATTACCATTACTTAAAAAGTCTTCTCAACAGTAAGTGATACAAATTGATGTGTAGCTATTTTTTTAATTATGAATTTTCCTACTCAACAAAATTGTATGCCTTTTTCTGGGCTTCAGGTTTAATCCCTTCTGTCCATCCAAGGGCTGGCACAATTTTCCTCAAGAAAAGTCAAATGATTGGTAAGTCAAGATAGGATTTATGTCACAGATTTTTGTTTGAACAAATAAAAAACATTTCAGTTGTTTATATATGAGGATTGAATGTGTGATCTTACATAGTGCTCAAGCAAATGCTATCTCACATTAGAATTTGAAGCTATTCAAACTCTCTCACCCTAGGTAATTCTGCCCCAGAGTACATCAGAGGAACAGAGCCCTATGGGGTTCCCCAGAAGCTTAGCAGGAGCATGTGCAACTATGTCAATTTCCTTTGTCCTGTTTGTTTTAGGATAAGAACCCAGAACTGGAAGATTTTAATGCTTTTGCTTGCCTGCTTATTTCCTTAACGTTATGTTCAATTGAGTTTACTTGCTTTAAAAGGCACATGGATCAAGTCTTTCAGTTGATTGTGACAGCAAAAGTACAGACAGGGAAGGGTCCATTTTATTTGAATCCATGCAGCTCAATAAAAAGTGGGGATTTTAACATGCATTTTCATGGCATGTGTGCATGACTGTCTGAAGCTGATCATTTCAGTTAGGATTGCTGTATTTCTCAGGTTCTTCCAGAGCCATGGGCTGCTCACCTGTAAAGAGAGGGTGAGGGAGTAAAGGAAATGCTATCCTGTGCCCCTGTCTGCAGTCCTGATACGGAACTGTATGCCTCCAGTTTTGTATGTTAGTAATCTTTCAGGTAATCAGTAACTTCTGTTTTTTCTATGGCATTTGTATCAGTATTGATCAGTTCATTCTTTTTATTCTTAGTGGGAGGAAAGAGAAAGAACAACTATTTCTACCATGTAAGTAAATATCATAGTTGAAAAGTTATGTAAGAAGTTAGTAATTTGAATTAAAAATTGTCTGCCATACTTGTTAAAAATTTATTATAAACCCAGTATCATTAGCATGAACCTTTTTTGGAAGATTTTCTTAATAACTTCTCTCATCTTAATTAACAAGTTTACATATTCAGGAAAGTTTTTGGCTCAGTAATAGTCATTTTTTAAAAGGAGTTCTGATCTTTAAGTACAATGTCAGTAACATGATTGTGGTATAAATATCTGCCTTAATTTTTTGCCTTAACTTTTAATTTTTTTAAACAAAATTAACAGCAATATAATAGCTGAGGCAATTTTTGTATTATCTATTGACTTATTGTCATAGCAGCTGAAAGCTTAGCTTTCTCCCTCCATTGTGGTCTTATTTCCCTCCTTCTGTCCTCCCAACATGTATCATGGTTTTTAGTAAATCAGAATCTGTTTCTATTATCATGACTATGCAAATATTTGTTACTGTTGAGCCATCTAGTTCTCTGGCCATGCCTTTTTCTTGTATACCCTTCATTCTTTTTTTTTTTTTTAATGTTTTTATTTATTGATTTTTGAGAGGGAGGGGAGATAGAAATATTCAGAGAAATATCAATTGGCTGCCTCCTCTACACCTCCTACTGGGGATTGAGCCTGCAACCCAGACATGTACCCTTTCTGGAAATCAAACTGGCAACCTCTTGGTTCCTGGGTCAATGCTCAACCACACTGGCTGGGCACCCTCTCAAAGCTTTTAACCTCTACCGCAGAAGGAAACTGGGATCTGACCAACAGGCAAACCACAGGTGGTTCTTCGCTGTAGGAGTGTTCACATCCTGCAAGCATCTCTGGTGGTGAGATAGGTATGACCTCATCCCCACAGCCTACTGGTTTCACAGACCTAGGAGAAGGGACATCCATTTACTTATGCCACACCCTTTTTGCCAGAGGACCCCACAATCCTGCCAGAAGTGTACATCATCCCCATTTTACAGTGGAGTAAAACAAGGCTCAGATTCATAAAGGGATGTGCCCAAGGTTGCTTAGATAATAAGAGGTGGGTTGAGGTAGAATCCAGGTTGCTTGACTCCAAAAACGTTGGGTTGTGGGTACGGAGAGTCCCCAGGATCAATGGCAGGTTTGTGCCTGCATGAGCTGGAACTGTCCGTGAGTTGAACCCTTCAGGAGTGGCCTGGGTTGCGAGCCGTCCTCCACATCTGCAGCATGGAATCCCGACAGGCCCTGTAGGGTCAATGTTTGATGCGGAACCAGTGTCCCCATCAAACGATGTTCCCACTGGGCATATACAGCTTCTCTCCGGGTGGACCCAAGAGATTGCACAGGGCCAGGTTGCCAGGTAGAATCTTTTCATAGAACTCCAATCTACCCTGGGAATAGGCTGCAGACATGGAGGCTGTGCGTGTCCCAGTCAGGCTTCCAGGGTGTAAGTGAGAGAGTCTGTGGAGAAGGCGTAAGCCACAAAGCCTACCACTGCTGCCACCAGGTTGAAGGCAACTCTTAAGTTCATGGGGCCTCCATAGAGCCCCAGGGCATGCTTGGCACTTATGCTCAGTGTCCAAGTTCCTGCCAGACAAGCTGGGGCCGGCAGGGTCTGCAGCACAGCTGTACTGCTCTCCAGGTACATCACCTCCCTGGCCAAGGCAAGCTTCTGAGCATCATGGGACAGGGTCAGGGTGTATTTCAGCCAAGTACCTTCTGGGCTTTTCCAGTCCACTCTTTGCCCATGTACAATCACAGGGTGGTCAGTTTTGGTCACTGAGTCATCCAGGAAGCTGGTGGGGATGCCCACCACGGCCCCAGCAGGGAGTCTTGGGAAGCCAGCACTCACCGGCAGGAAGGTGAAAGTGGTGAAGGCCTTGTTCCCATGGTCTGATGGGATGCCAATGTCCTGTAGTACCTCTTGGAAAAGTCTCTGAAGCTTTGGGGAGAGTGGGGCTGGCTGGCCCTGAGGCCAGTACTGGTATAGCCATCGAACCACAGGATCTGGGAAGAGGTGGTACAAGATCTGGGCCCCAAACAGGCCCGCACAGGAACCCACCAACAGGCCTGTCCTATGTCTCTGCACAAATGCTGTGGCCCGCCACAGGGGACTGGCCATGGATGCTGCTACTGCTACAAACCTCCTCTGCCTTCACCGCCACAGCCTAGGACGCTGCCCCCTTCATTCTTTTGATCAAAAAATGTATATGCACTCTGCATGATTATGTTAGTGTTTATTAACTTACTAGAGGCCCTGTGCATGAGATTCATGCACTGGTGGGGGGTGTGGCCTGTGGGCATAGGCCCACTGGGAGAGAGGCCAAGCGGTGCTCCCCCAGTGGGAGTGCACTGACACCAGGGAGCAGCTCCTGCATTGAGCATCTGTTCCCTGGTGATCAGTGCTCATCATAGCAACCAGTCATTTCACCATTCTGTCATTTTGCTATCAGTCTTTTATTATATAGGATAGTTCATTTAAAAAATTTTAAAGAACCTACAGAAGTGAATAATTTTTGTCAGTACCTGTTTTCAAACTTATGACCGTTTTGGTCCAAGCACTGCTGACAAAACAAAGCAATGGAATTGCAAATGTGAAGAATTAATTATTTTAGTTGATAATAGTGTGCCCTCAATTTGTCACCTATTGCCGGTTTTATATCTCCCCATTAAAAAAAAAAAAAAAAGTTTAGTCAGAGCTTAGAATAAGTTTTCTTTGTTCAAAGCATAGGCTGGCTTTACCTATTATTTTGAATCAATTAAACCTGAAAAGGAGTGAAAATTGAGTTATCAGCTGTTAAAATGTGTATTCATTTTTGGCACCCCTATATTACTGAAATTTCAGCACTGCTACACTTCTCCAGGATAATACAAACCTCCCTTTTTCAGGAAAATGATCTCACATAGCCAAATTCAGAAAGTAGGCTGGCCTGATTTCAGAAATAACTGCTTTATATCTAACAATCAAGTAATTTGGCAGAGAAAGATGATTATTGGACAAAAATTACACATTTATGCTACATTAACATAATACCTAGTAAGTTTTCATTTTTAATGGTGTGGAATTAGTTTTTTCAGTGTAATCACTTGTTCTTTTCTATTTTTTTTTTCCTGAACATGCTGTGACATTTGTCATAGGCCTGTCAAAAATATTTTCCATGTACTAAACACATTTGTTCTATTTCTTATTGGAAGCCATCTCCCTAGCTTTTTGTTATCCTCTTCTACTACACACTTGTTCTCCGAAGGCTTGTTCTGTGCCTTGCTTTTAAGCATATTTCTCTAAAGTCATCTGGGATCTCATACACACTGGTAATAGATCCCAATTTCTTAAGTCAGTGATTTTCAAACTTTTTCATCTCATGACATGCATAAACTAATGACTAAAATTCTGTGACACATCAAAAGAATATATTTTTTTACCAATTAAAAAAAGTGTAATTGTGATTCATTCACTTTTGATGTATATTGTGGTATTGGCTGTTGTCATTTTGTTATTTGACAATGTAAGGAAAAAGGTCAGTGCCCCTGCCCAAATAGATATTGCATTTTGTAAATAATCTTGCCACACACCACTGTGCTGGATGGAATGCTGGTTAAAAAATCACTTTGTTTATGTTTTCCTCTGTATTGTTGTTCTTTGTTTCACCTAAGAACTTTTTTCCTGGGAAAGGACACATGGGCAGAAATTGTAGCCTCTCTGAAATGCCTCCTACTTATTAGAGCAGAGAATTATAAGTTGAAATAAATTTTTGCAGTCCTAAAGACATTTCTACTATTTTCTCATTACATTGTTGCTCTTAAATATATTGGTAATGTATGATATGTTGTATATTTGCAACTTCAGTAATTTTCCCCACCCTTTCGTCTCTGGAAATATATAGAAGCTTACCTATTCCTGGGATTCTGAAATTTCATGTTATGTTTTGGTATGCATCTTTTCACTTTATTGTGGCCATCAAAACTTCAGGTCTTATCTACTTTCAGGGGATATTTTTGTTTCTTTTATAAATTCTTTATTCCTTCTTTTTATTAATATTCCCATTAGTCAGAAGTTAGAACTCTTAGAACAGTATTTCTGGACAAATCTCTAAATATTCTCCCTCGCCCCCCTTATTTCCCATTTTGTCTTTTTCTGCTTCCTGGAGATTTCCTTGAGTTTGTTTGCCAAGACTTATTTTTTCTTTCATTTTCTTTCTTTTTTTAGTTTTTGGGGTTTTTTTTTTTTTTAAGTTTTTATTGATTTCAGAGAGGAATGGAGAATGAGAGAGAGAGATAGAAACATCAATGATAAGAGATTATCATTGATCGGCTGCTTCCTGCATGACCCCTACTAGGAATCAAGCCCACAACCTGGGCATGTGCCCTTAACTGTAATCAAACCTGAGACCCTTCAGTCTGCAGGCTGGTGCTCTATTCACTGAGGCAAACTGACTAGGGCCCCAATAATTTATAATTCTGTTTTATCTAGTTTTTAATTGATAGTGTTTACTTATGTCCTGTCATTTTTATAGCATTTCATTCTTTTACCACTGTAATGTTTGCTTTTGTAAGGTTTATTTGTTTGTTTGTTTACTAGAGGCATGCTGTACAAATTTGTGCATGGATGGGGTCTTGGAGATCAGAACCAAATGAGGGGGGGGTGTCTGCAGGGGAGAGGAACCGTGGAAAGTTGGCTAGCCGGCCCCCCTTTATTTCCAGCAGCAAGCAAGGCACGACGGCTAAGGAACAGCAATTCCATGCAGAATCGGGCTCCCTCCTCGCTCTTGTCTGGGTTCCGGGTGCAAGTGAACCAGATTCAGGGCTGTCAGGGCCCCAGCAGCAAGGTCTGGGACAGTGCACATCATAGCTACCGGCTGGTCATCCAGTCATTCCAGTCATTAGGCTTTTATATAGAGAGAATTTTAATACTGACTTGAGGATAGTTTTTTTTTATTGGTTTTTGGAGAGAGTAGAAGGATGGGAGGTAGTAATCAGGAGAGAGATAGAGAGAAATATCTATGTGAGAGATACATCCACTGACTGCCTCTCAAATGCTCCCCAAACAGGAGAAGGGAGTGAACCCATAACCCAGATACTTGCCCTTGACTAGAATCAAACCCCGAACTTTTTGGTGAGAAGGACAATGCTCTAACTACTGAATATCACTGACCAAAGGATTATTTTTCTTTTGCTTTTGAATTTTATCACTCACATTTTTTTTTTTTATGCTACAGTTTTATTTTACACCAGAGGCCCAGTGCACAAAATTCATGTGCAGATACGGCACTAAGTCTGGCCTGTGATGAGGGCCATCTTTCCCAGCTGCCCGCAGCCAGCCCTGCCCCCTGCTGCCACCCACCCCCAGTTCCCCATTTGCCATCAAGTGATCGTTGCTTGACGGCTGTGGGAAGGGACCGAGAAGTGGTCAGTGCTCCTCATAGTGACTGGTCCAGCAATCGTTCTGGTCCTTTTGCCATTAGGGTCAACTTGCATATTACCCTTTTATTATATAGGATAGAGGCCTGGTGCATGGGTGGGACCGGCTGGCCTGCCCTGAAGGGGATCTCAGATCGGGGTGGGGGAATGGACAGCAATCTGAATTGGGGCAGGGGCAGGGTGAGGGTCCCCACTGGGGGAGGGACTAGCTTGGGCAAGGGGCTGCCTGGGGTTTTTAGGAAGGCTACACCCCCAATCAGGGTGGGGATCCCCGCTGGGGGCGGAGCCAGCATGAATGAGAGGTTTGGGGCAGTGTACAGGCTGATAATATCTCTGATCAGAGTGGGGGTCCCTACTAGGGATGAGGCTGGCCTGGGTGAGGGGCCTGAGGTGGTTTGCAGGCCAGCCATGACCCCAGTCGGGGTGGGGGTCCCTGCTGGAGGTGGAGGGCCTGGGGTGGTTTGCAGGCCAGCCTCACCTCCAATGGGGGTGGGGTTCCTGCTTGGAGAGGGGCTGAGGGCAGTTTGTAGGCTGGCCATGCCCTCAGTCAGTGTGAGGGTCCCCACTGGGGCAGGGTCAGCCTAGGCAAGGGTCCAGGGGCAGTTTGCAAGTCGGCCAAACCCAGGCTTTGTCAGAACAGATGTGCAGAAAACATCCGGTCTAATTAGCACATTACCCTTTTTTTTTAGTATAAATAGGACAACTGATTTACTAATACCACAGATTCTAAGTTGTTCTAAGAAATGTGATGTTCTTAGCATGTAGATTTTAAGAAAAGCTTTCTTTTTTTAAAAAAAATATATGTATTGATTTTTTTATAGAGAAAAAGGGAGAGAGATAGAAAGCTAGAAACGTCGATGAGAGAGAAACATTGACCAGCTGCCTCTTGCACACTCCCTACCGATAATGTGCCCGCAACCAAAGTACATGCCCTTGACCGGAATCGAACCCGGGACCCTTCAGTCCACAGACCGACACTCCACCACTGAGCCAAACCGGTTTCGGCAAGAAACGCTTTCTATTTGCTTTTTGTTTATGAGTTCAGATTTTTTTTTAAATTAAATTCACTGGGGTGACATTGATTTAAATCCCTATTTAGGATTCAAGTGTACCTATCTATGATACATGATTGCTACAATGCATTGTATGTATACCACCTAAAGTCAAATAATCTTCCCTTACCATACATTTGGCCCTCTTTACCCTTTACTTACCCCATACCCCTTCCCTCTGGTAACCACCATACTGTTGTATATGTCTGAGTTTTAGTTTTATACCCCACATAGCTTTTTTTTTCTGACTTACTTCACTTAGCATATAATACCCATGTTGTGACAAATGGCAGTGCTTCCTCATTTATGGCTGAGTAGTATTCACACACACACACACACACACACACCCCACATCATCTTTATCCAAATATTTACTGAAGGACACTTTATTTTCATGTTTGGCCATCAGGAATAATGCTACAATGAACATATATCTTTACAAATGTTTTTTCTTGATAGATAACCAGAAGAGGGTTTGCTGGATCATATGGTAATTCTATTCTTATTTTTGTGAGGTAATTTCATACACTTTTCCATAGTGGCTGTACAGTTTATGCTCTTACCAGCAGTGAATATGGGTTCCTTTTTCTCCACAACCTCTATAATACTTGTTATTATCTGCCTTCTTGATGGTAGCCATTCTGCTTTGGCC